AATGTTGCCTTTACAGAGATGCCAGAATGTATCAACAGGAAAATGTGTGCTGCAGCATTTCAGTACCTTGCTGTCTTTTAGTCGATCTTCTTCTTTGATGGCCGGAATTATTTTTAACGTTATTGACCCCTGAGACTGAGCCTGAGAAACAGAGAAATGATTTTTACTTTTGAAAGCAGGACAAGGATACAATGCAGACTATTCAAGCTCCAGTTAAGGAGCTAGCAGCTGTCTCTTCTTCTCAGAACAGTAACAGGCCAAGCTAATCCACTATTTTAACTTCATTACAGAGACAATCACGATGTTCCATGAATCTTCCACAACAGTGTCTTACCCATGGAGACATCCACAGTAACTACTTGGCTAGAACATATTAAGATCTGCCTTAAAATTCCTTCATTTGCTTTTAGCAACTGCATTAACTTCTGGATTAGAGTTCACAGGGTGTTAAATACTTCTGTGGCTTTTAGTATGAGACTAACTTAAGTTTTTGCAGACTAAACATCAACAAAACAAACATCTACTTTCATTCTAGAAATCTTTGCTAGTAAATGTCAACTATTAGTTATAGTAAATTAAAAAGCACTTCTGGATGCATCAGAAATCTAGAATAGGTTTATCTGATCTATTTTAGATGCCTTATTCTGGATAAGATGAACTGTGTCCCAGAGAAGCCTGCTATTCTGCACAGACTAAAAAGGAAACACAGACAAACAGGAATGTACTTATAATTTGCAATTTGCTTGTCATAAACAAAGCACTAAAGGGACGTTCTTGACAGAGCAACATGTTAACTTTATATTTGTATCTTACTTGGTACCGATCCAGTTCGCAGAAGTTTCTGAAGTCAAAAGGAGAAGACTAATCCACTGGGAGAAGAAAAACTCTTAATGCAAAGACAAGCAGGGATTGCATCTTTTAGCTCTATATTTAAAACTCATGGTTAAATTTTATCATCTATTGTAATTACTAGATCACCCAACAGAAAAGATCTTGAAATGAAAATCAGTGCAGACCAAAATCTGACTTATTTCTTCCGGTCGTTTGTGAAGCACAGTAATACCATTGACTTCTCTTAGTTCATCTCCAACATGGACAAGACCTGAAAAGATGGCAAATAAATTAAAATAGGTCTACCACTCCTCTGATGTCCAGCCTAAGTCATTAGCATGTACCTCCTCTCCTCCCTCATCCAGCTTGATGGATTTAATACTATTGCCTTTGTTGGCAATGTGCCTCCAAGTCTCCTGCCCTTATTCCACATGGCATTTTTTTTTCATGCAGCATCAGTCTTAAAAGGAGACCAGCATGCAGCTAAACATGTGGCAAGATGCTCTGGAAAACCACTGCCTCTATTTCCATCAGCATTAAGAATATAAAATTGGAATAGTTGCATGAGGATGATCAAAATCCTGTAAAGTCAGGAAACACACTGCTGACTGTAAAGGCAGGACTGACACGACAGATCAACACTAGAATGAACACTAGACTCATTTTTTTTAACAAGCCATGAAGAGACTCTACAAGTTTTAGGTTTGCTTATCCAGTTCAGTAAGAAATGTTGTACTTATTATAGCTACTGTTAACCAACATAAAAGAATTTCTCAGTAAAGCCCACAGAAAACAACACATAACAACCTGAATAAACCAAAATTAAAAGTAAAAAACATTCTTTTCTTTCTTCTAGAGCTTGAACCTACTCCTTCTATCTTTGTTTGCATTTTTTTCCTAGCAGCCATTTCAGAAAAAACCCCATGTAAGTAGATTAATAGATCACTGATGAAATACAGAAACGCCAAGTGCACGCTTAGGAAACTTCAGAAGTTTACAAATGCAATTTAAAATCCCCCTTCCTTCAGAAATTTACCACTGCTCATACCACTGCGATCAGCTGCACCACCTCTCATGATCCTTGCCACAACCACAGCTCCTGTGTGCTCATCTCTTCTGATGGTGGCTCCCTGAAATAAAACAACCCCCCCACCAAGAAACTGTAAGAAATTTGCTTAGAATACAGCAAGCAGTGAGATAACATGTACACTACCTCATCTTTTAAACTGGGATTAATTTTTCAATTGATTTTCTCTTTCTCCTTGACAGTTTTCACTGTTATTTAACTTTTGCCCCCCCATTATGGGAAGGTACACACCCCTTCCTTTCTGTGGACTTTGCTGAGTGCTTACACTACCTACATTATTGTGGTCATCAAGTCACTCAAGTGTGCAAAACAGGATTTGTTACAACAAACTTTGTCTTCTAATCTTTATACAATACAGGCAGCACTTTTACATATAAAAGCAACAAAAGCCAAATAATTAGATCTTTTTTTTCCCTTCCCCAAGCTCTGCTGGCAATATAAAGCTTTAATCAGCTTTAGCAAGAGCTTTAGCACTGCTCTCTTCTACTACTGTCATATACAAAAAGCATATTTATTCCCCAACACAATTGTTTTTTCTTAGGAAATCAATTCATCCATTTCCATTTGTACCTTGACAATATAATGTTTACATTATATTGTCAGGTATCAAAACATACTCTTACCACATGTTACTGACTTTAATGCAAATGAATATATTAAGTCACTGAATGTTAGAATGAAAAGAATTAATACATATAATAAGCATAATCACTTCAACACATACAATTTCCTCAGAGACAGTGTTCCCTGTGTTAACTTGTATTATAAACCCATGTCCATAAAGCATCCCAATGCAAAATTGTGAAGGTGTATTTACCAAAGTTTTCTTTTTATGTTACTTTACTGGCTTCAGAACACTCTCCTAGTTTTTGCTGGTTATTTGACAGCATCTTCAAGTGTCTCCTCTATACTCACAATAACACCTTTGCACTATAGAGTTCTATGACTAGGAATGGGTTATCTAATATGTACCAAGGGTTCTTTATTTTTCACTAGCCGAACAATTTTCACTGATTCCTCATCAAAATCATCATCAAAGTTATCAGGCAGAGGTGGAAGGACTGGATCAAAGTTCTTCTGTGCTACAGTGTCATGTACTACAAGCATTGCCTGCATAAAGGAAATAAAAAATAGTAATGTAATGCAGCAATATTACAGCTCCCAGTTCTCATGTTTCCAATCTTACAGCAAACTTAAATCTCCCCCTTTCCACCCTCACCACAAAACCTCCAAAAAAGATTCAACAATTACATTAGCCATCAGGTAAACTATATACTGGTATATGTTCATACTTATAATAAATCCAGGCAACAACAAAGTTCAGCCTAAAAAAAACCTGAGTGGACTATGAGAAGCAAAAAGGTTTCCTTTTCTATTCTGCTCCCTCAGAAAATATTAAGGAGGGGACAGAGGGAAGACAGCCTGATGCATTATGCAGGAAAGGCTGTGTCTTCTTAATTCCCTTTGCATCCCACAACCTGTGCAGGAAATCACAGTGGAACAGAACTACAGTTTGCAAGAGGTTTTTCCTTTCTCTTAGGGACACTTCAATAAAATTTTTCTGCTACAAAATGTTCCATTGCAATTGTGCAAAGGGATTTTGTTAAAGTCCCCAGTGTGTTTTTTTACCCTGAGATGAGGTGTTGACAACAGCTGAAGTAGCTCTTTTTCTTCATTGTTCACTGGTGCAGTCTGCAACTCTTCTATTACCTTCAAAATAAAAATGTACAGCCCCAAAATTAAAGGAGTCCACCAAACAAGATCCAACTGCAAAGCTCTGATGTGTTAGAAAAGCAGGCTTAAATAACAGGAAAAGCAGGAGACAGGAATTTTTGACTTACATCTTCAACTAATCCTGCTGCACTGTGTAAAACAGGAGTTGGACTCTGCCTTTCATAATGACGGAGTTTTTCATGAATCTGAAAAAGATTATTCAGAGATATTTCTACAGACAGATTCAAAACTTTCTAAATATACCTACACCAGAATATTTTTCTATTTCAGGAATATAATTTTTCTGAGATGTGTCAGGAAAATAATCTCTCTGGGAGTTACTTTTTTTGTTTAGGAGTCTTCTAGTTTTCTTTTTACTCGTGATAGTTTCAGACAGCCAGAAAATCTGTTAAGACTTTAGCAGTGTAAGGAAAAAAAATGCAGCCACCTCAGACTACTTTTTAGTTACAGGGCACTGTATCTTCATTTTAGCAATCAGAGCAGAGATGTTTCTTCCTGAACAAAATATGTTAATTGTCAAATGTTCTTAATGTTTGTGCTTAAACACACATACTTTGGTTGGTATGGGATTCATAAAAAAAAAGCAGCTTTGGCAAAGTAAATGGTTGCTAAATCAAGAGAATAAGTTGATAAATACAGAGAATAAGTAAACTGTAAGGAAATGTACATACTTAAATAAACTTTTACCTTCATGAGGTAGCTGAGACTCCTTTCACTGAAGACATCCCTAAGGAATCCCATTTCCTCTTTATGATTTGAGTCAGGTCTTAGCTGAGATGTCAAAAGGGCCAAAGTTTCATGCAATCCTAAATTCAGATTCAGGACAGAAGGAAAACATTGTACACAGCATTTCTCACAGGACCTTCTACTGCAGACTCAACAGCCACTACACTTACTTGGGTACCACGTTGGTGATTATCAAGTTTGCAGAGACCTGTGTTTATCTACCACTCATTTTGCAATGCTCCCCTCATAAGTGGCAAACACAGCTTAAGATATAACAATTATCATGTTAAGGCAAAAGCTACCAAAGCAATGTATATTTTTTAAAAAACATCACCTTTTAAGTTTCCCCTTCATGTTAACTACCCTGTGTTCTAGAACAACGTGCCAGTTTGAACTGATTTCCTGTGTGAAACACATACACTAAGATTTCAGTCACTGTTCTGTTGAAAACATGTAGTTTAGTTACCTGAGTCTTCAGAAAGCACTGGCATGGCTTTGTTCTTAATCTTAGAGGCAAATGTTCAGCTTCAATCAACACAACTGTTTCTTCTTTCTGGACTGTGATTCAGAGGCAGCCCTGAAACGAGCAAACATAGCACCTAAGCTCAAGCATGTGAGAAAAATGGCCAGCAGGTAAAAATAGTGAATTCCTAGTACATCTTTCCCTCAAGTGTTCAGTTTAACCTAAATCGAGCAGAGTTCTGCAGTTATTCTTCTGCACAAGTAAAACAATGAAAAATACCAGGTTAGACAATAACCATATTGTATCTCAGACAAGGCTGATGCTAAAGAGAGCATCCCTCTAGAGAGGTAGTTTTCACAGGTCTAAGTAACTGTCTGGAAAGACAGAAGAGAATGGATGTTTAAAAGCCTTGATAAACATCAGATGCAGAAACAGAGAGAGCAGGCAGGAAGATGCCACTTCACAAGATGTTCTGTGGCTTCCTAAAAGCACATCTCAAAGGAATGTATGTCCCCCTGGAATTCTGATGAACACCATACTACAATTCCATTAAAGCTAATAGTAAGACTGTCACTCTATCAACCTTGGTCACAGCTACTAAGAATGTTTCAACAAGTAAGGCTACTTCTCCATTGCTCAGAAATTGCTTTAGATGCTTTTAGTGCAGATTTCTCTTGTCACTGAGAGCAAATGACTCCAGAGCAATTGTTTTTAAAAAAGGCAAAATTGAATTTATGCTTATAATTATCAGTCCAAGATGAAACACTGTATTCCAAGGCACTTACAATCTTTTTCATGCTTACAAAAATTCATCAGACAAATATTTGCATTAAAAAAACCTGCCATAGCAGCACACATAAAGTATTACAAAGGAACGTGTGATACTCCAGCTCTTTGCTAAATGCAACAAAGGATGTTCCTCGTGTTTCTACTTGCAGATAAATCTCTGATACTTTGATTGCAAGTCTGATGGTTTTCCAATTCAACATTTTTTAAAATAGCTTCCTGAAAATACCACAGTATTGCATGGCAAATTAGCATATACCTAGTCAGGATTTTCCAGATTCCTGAGTTACTCTACAACATACTGAAATATTAAGCTCAACAGCCACCTCTGTTTTGCACCCCGTATTTTCTACCACTACAATTAATTAGTCCAACTGGGTATCAAAACCTAAGTGAGTTTTTCAAGTAAATGAACTGAGTGTTGAAATCTCCCTCTGATGCTCTACATGGGGTCAAAGTGGGGGATTAAACAGAAGCATAATGTGATTTGGCATATCCCCATTACCTCGGAAGATAAACCTATTGTGGTTCACAGCTTAATACAACACAAAGCTTCTGTAATCCAGATTAATATCATCCAAAGCAGCAGATCCCATTTCAGAAAGCAGTTTAACATCTTGCCGGGAGAAGATCACCCCAGCGATAAGGTCAGACAATACACCTGTAGGAAACAGGGCCCGAGTACCGATGGCCATCACACAGGATTTCTCCTCGCGTCCAAATCTGAGCGAGACAAGTCTTTCGCTGGGCACTGCACCT